TTTACAAAATAGTTGATAAAAATATTCCTCTGGATTGTACAAGAAGGGAGACAGGGACCACTGATAAGACATGGTATATGGTATTAATCAGACTTGGCTTCTTTCTCTCCTGCTTCATCAGAGGCTGGACTCTGCAAATCAAAGGAAAATTAATGATCAAATATTTGATTGTCATTGCTATCAGCTATGAGATCGTTAGCATTTAGCACAATGTAGGTCTTATTTATATAACTTATTAGGTCTCCAAAAGGACTATCCTCATTATTTGTAGTTTCCGTATTTGCAAATTTACCTACTCTTATTAAAATATTTTTGTAACCCCCAAATCATACTCACGGCACTACCAGTCATTTGCATATACAGAGCAGGAAAAACAAAGTGAGTTGCCCCACATGTACATTCCCACTGAGGTTATTCTTTCTTCTTGTTTAAGCTCTAATACTGTAAACAAGTATCCTTTTTCGGTCTATTCAGTGTCACACATATCACATCTTTGTGCTTTCTGTTGATGATTTTGCTGTTTAAAATGGCCCCCAAGCACAGTGTCCAAGTGCTATTTAGTGTTGCTAAGGGCAAGAAGGCTGCGATGTGCCATATAGAGAACATACATGTATTGGATAGCTTTGTTCAGGCATGAGTTATAGTGCTGCTGGTTGTGGAGTTCAATGTTAACAACATACACTAAATGAGGTATCTGTAAACAGAAACACACCCATGACAAAGTCATGTACTGACCAGTTGATGAAAACATTGTGACCACAGGCTTGCAGGAACCTACTACACCAGGTGCAGCAGCATAGAATATAACTATGAAAAAGGACAATCAACTGTAATGTAATGACAACATGTGCTACAAGGTCAAGTTCTTCCTTTATAATTGGAACTCGATTGATAATCCTAATATCACACAATATTTCATGTGTGGCTAAAACTAGGAAGTAAAAAGTTGACATAAATTTCCTAATTTAGGATTAGTTGATCACTTAAGAATGTGATCCGTAAGTATCAAAGTTTAAAAATTAACACCCTAAATTACTTATCTTTTATGGCTTAGCCAATACAACAAACAAAATAAAGGCTTGGAAAAAAAAATCAATAAGAAAAGTTTATCAGGCTGGACGCACGCTTGTAATCCCAGTACTTTGGGAGGTGATATGAGAAGATCACTTGAAGGGCCAGGAGTTTGAGACCAGCCTGGGTAAAATAGTGAGGCCCCACCTCTACAAAAAAATTTAAAAAATTAGCCAGGTATGGTGGTACATTCCTGTAGTCCTAGCTACTCTGAAGGCTGAGGTGGGAGGATCGCTTAAGCCCAGGAATTCGAGGTTGCAGT